TGCCAGGAGATACAACTCAAACCTTTGCTGTACCAGCAGTGCCATTTCACACATAAAAATATTGTCCAAACAGGGGAAGAGTGGTAAAACCTGCACTTGTGCAAACTTCAGGGAGAGAGGTCTCAGGAAGTGCCATTTTCTTTGATGGTTAAAAATCTTGAGCATCTTCCCTTTTCAGTTCAGAATCCACAATCCACAGGGAGCCTTGGAGTGATGCACAAAATTATGCAATTCCTCTGCTGCCCAGACACCATTTCCTTTGGGCTGCTCACCCAGCCAGGCACTCAGGGTAAGAATTTGTCCAGGCAAAAGACATGTCCATACAACAGCTGTCAGTTTTATGACAATTCACAAACAAGCAGGTGAATGATTCCAGTCAAAACTCAATAAACCAAATTCCTCATTACACACATAGAGAAGGAAAAGAAATAGCCAAAAGCTGACAGAAATTAATTTAGTGGGGTTAAGATATCACAATTTATTCAGCTACATAAGAGACACTTATTTACATAATGGAACAGTACTGGAAAATGTTACAATGTAGTTGTAGAAAAGATGGTCAACTTGTTGAGCAGCAGTCCTATAAAACACTGACCTGAACAAAAGCCAGTAGGAGCTTTTTTCATATAAAATCCCTCTAATCAAAAACACAACAAAGCCCATGAGGTATTGGTCAGTATGACAACTTACCAAGCAGAGTCAGAAACAAGGCTCAGCCTTTGGAAAGCTAAACCACAGCCAAAACTAGTGCTAATTACAAAGATGTAGCAAGGAAGTTTGTGAATTTGTTTATTTGTGAAAATTCCTTAATTACTTGGCCGTGGCAAGAATTTTCTTGGGACAGGACAAAATAGAGGTGTTAGCAATGGGTGTTTCACATCTGAAGGATGCCCTGACCTGTGATAAAATGAAAGTATAAAGGTGATAAACCCTTTAATAAATTCAGATTATTTAATATCTAAAGAACAAATAACTAGAGAGACTATCTTCATAAGGCCTGACACCTTTTCTGTACTATCTCAGTAGTAATGTGTCTTTTCCCCATCCTCTTAATATCGAAGTGCTCATGCATTTAATGCAGTCCAGAAAAAACTACTTGAGGTAGATAAATATTATTTGGCAATTGAAAAGAACAAGAAATGGAAGTCAAATCTTCATAGACTGGAACAACTCTTTGTTCCTTCTGGATCTGGACCATGGCTGCTGGCTGGCTTACGGTACTGGGATGTGGGTTAGGTTTGGCTTTATATAGCTCTGATGAATATTCATTTCTGTACTGTAGGTGCTTTTTGGTTAGGTTTGTTTTTTTAGGTTTTGTTTGTATGCTGATAACATTCTTTCTTGGTATCCCCTCTTTGCACAAACTTTGCCAGGACTGTGCTGTCTTGTTTTCATTTTGGTTTGAGTTCAATGTCCCTACTTGGCAGCAATTTCAATTGAACTCAATCTCTTTCTTTTCTGAGCAGTACAATGTGTCCTGCAGCAAACAAAATTTCAAGATGGCCAAAGACTGGTCACAAGGGAAAATCCCCAAACTGGGAAAATGCAATGAAAACTCACATGTGATCACAGAAAGTTAATCTCAAATCCCAGAACTTCAAGTTATTGGCAAACTAAGGACATTTTTCTTGTTGTGAGGAGCAAAAATTTCCTGCCAACATTCACAAGATGCAGTTTTGAAGAGAAAAATCTCTGTCTTCCTCAATATTACATAAGAGGTCATCGCTGAAGGGGCTCAGCACACCAATGCATCCTGAACAAACGATCAAGTTTATTGTTATTGTTGCATCTTCTAAGGGCTAATTGAAAACATCCCATGGGCTTGCTGTGGTCTCCTGGAAAAGACACATGGCCTGTAAAACCACCCATTGTAGCCCTATTTCCTGTGTGCTATAAAACAGAACTTTGGTTGCTGGTATGCAAATCCTGTTTGGAACAACAAGGCCAGACAAACGCAATATTTGCTAATTTGGTAGTAACTAATTTGGTAGTAGTTTAGATTTAAGGAAAGATAGTAATTTCTTTCCTTCTCTCTGCAATAGAATAGACACAAGGCATTAAGTGGACTTTGAATCATAGAATGGCTGAGGTGGGAAAGAACCTTCAAAGGTCATCTGGTCCTGCTCAAGCAGGGTCACCTAGAGGTGGTTGCCCAGGGTCATGTCCAGTTGGGTTTTCTCCAAAGATGGAGAACCCACAAACTACCTGCCTGGCCAGTCTGTGCCCATGCTCAGTCACCCTTGCAGTAAAAATTGTTTCCTGATGTTCAGAGGAAATCTGTGTTTCTGTTTGTGCCCATTGCCTCTGGCCCTGTCACTGGACACCGGTGCATTTTCTTTGTACTCTCCCTTCAGGCATTTATACACACTGATGAGATCCCTCTGAGCCTTCTTTTCTCCAGATGAACAGTCCCAGCTCTCCCAAATATACTCCAGTACCGTTCATCATCTCAGTGTCCCTTTACTGGACTCCATACAGTTTCATTTCCCCACTCAGAGGGAATACATCCCTCCCTTTCCCAGTACTGGAGATGCCCATGCCACCCTTAGGCAACATGCAGTAACCAGTGCTGAGGTACTGGGAGCCCACATGCTGACATTCAGATGGCCTCAAGTTCAGGAGGACAGAGCAGGGAAGTTACCTGGGCTTGGCTGCAAAAAGCAGCTGCAGACGAGGCTGCCCACAGCTGAGCACACCAATGTCACTGCTCAGGATTATCCTCTGGCAGACTGGCTGGCTTGTAGCCCTATCACTGCTGTTTCAACATCTAACCATGACGTTAGGTTGGATGGGAGAACCATCATTGCAAGCAGATGCCCACATTCTTTTCCCTTCACTTAAATATTTTCAGCTTAAAAAGACTGAAGTTTGGTGCTCAGATTGCCCCACCTGGGACACAAGTGACTCTAGCAAGCTGCTCAGGCACTGTGTATGTGACCAGCATCTGCCCCATCACCTGCCTAAGCCCTTCAGACACTGCTAATTTAAAAACCCAGAATAGCAGGCAGATGCTCTGGAGGACACTTCCCACAAGGAAGCACCAGCTAAGGGAGAAATGAAATCACCTTTTCTGATGTGCAGAGCAGAGAGAGCTAGCAATGTCTGTGTGCCCTTGTCACAGCATGAGGTATCACTAAAAGCTACTGCCCTTCAGCAGCCCCAGGGAAAGGGGGCTTGGCTTCATTAAAGAGTTTATGCATAGTATACACCTGTATCAAAACACCCCCTCCTCCCATCCTCCAATAGTGCAATTCATAACAATGAATTGCTCAGATTTCTTATTCAGCAAGTAAAATGGAAAAAAGGACCAGGCAACAGAGATCCCTTTTTGTATGCATCTAGCAGACAGAAGAAACTGAGATTGCTACTCTAACACAGCAGAAGAGGAAGGCAGGCATTTTAACTCTCCCAGTGTCAAATCCTTCTTGTTCCATTTGGAAAGTAGAAGAATTATTGAATTAGATGCATCTATTTTCTCTTCATAATGTCTACATTTCAGCTCTTGAGGATATTGCAAAGGGACAAATTTTCCTTCCCCCTCAGCTTCACTTGCAGTTTATATAATTTTCTAAGCCCAGAGCAGCTTGTCCTGAGACAGCAAGATAAGGAGATATTTAACTTAAATCCAGATAACCCTGCAGGTCATTCAGTGAGAAAGAAAACTAGGAAAATTCTGCAAAACAGTTTTGCATACCCCACAGCCACATATAAGCAACATTGAAACCACAACTCCTCGGGAGAGAACAGGGGAATGGCCACGAGTTCATTGCAGAACAGTCCAAACAAGTTGTTCTCAAATGCAGTCTCCTTTGGAATCAGTTCTTCACCTCTGTTTGCACATTAGGCATTCAGGAGCAGGTGCTGACCCAGGGGCAGATCCTCACCCTGCTGGCTCCATGATTCCACCAGTGTGATGCAGTCCCAGCCTTGGTGCCACTGCTGTCTCCTCAGGAACCAAGCACTAAACAGCAATTGAAATGCTCTTTGGTGTGCCCATGCTTCTGTCACCATGGGATGCACTCCCTGAACAGCACAAGTCAGGTCTCTGGCCAAAAGGCCCTGAGCCCAAGGGAATATGGAACACCACAGTCCAGCAAAGCTTTGTACATACTCTCCAGCTGGAATGAAATATGGCAGGCCACTTGCTCATCTTGCATAGCTTTGACAGCCAGGAACGCTTCAGTCATCAGAAAACATGCACAAGGTGTAATGAAAAGCATTCCAAGAGGAAACAAGCATCTAGTTTCCAGGAGAGAACGTGGGAAGACTGAGAAAACAACTTTCAAGTTGGAAAAATAATAGTACAGTGTGAATTATGTTTGACAATATGCTTTAAAATATGCTGTTTAGAGGGGAAACAACAACAGGCTGTACGACCAGGAAACCCAAGGTGGTGTTATTTCAGAGAACATGACTGCAAAATGCTTCATCACAGGTTACAAGATGTTCAAGAAGAGAATTTTCCCTGAAAATACCTAGCAGTCTTGTGATGTGCACACAGAATCCACTCACCCTTTACTGCAGCAGCTCACTGGACCAGAATTAATGCCATGGATTGATATAACCATATTTTTTTCCCCTCAAAAGCAAATTGCTGCTGGGCAAACAAAGGAGAAGCTTTGTTTTCTTTTGGCATTCTCTCTCAAAAGAGAAGGCTTCTCCAGGTAGCAGTGTGCTCTGAAGTGGCACATGTCATGGCCTCCCCACTGCAGAGGGAAGAAGGGAAGTCCAAAACAGGGCAAGACCGAGCGCCACCAATGTGGTGCAAGCACAATAGCTACAACCACAAGGCCTGCTGAAACAGGAGATGCAGGAAAGCCTTTGCAGAGTAAATTCTCTACACCAATTTCTTTGAACTGTGTGAGTAGTGCCATGCTAAGAAGTAACATGGATTAATGGAATGGAGAGTTGACTCTTCAGAGAAGGTCCCTTTGGAAAAAAGGGCTTTTATAGATATTCACCTTGACAATGTCATTCTAAAAAGGTAATTTTGGTCAATCCAGGTTTTTAAATACTGTTTATTATTAAGAGAAACTGTAAAGTATGACAACAGGACAATGGGCATCATTCAGCAATATCACTTCTGGGTCTATAGAGAAAATTAATAAAAACTATCAGCATTTAAAAAAATAAATATGACTAACCATATGGAAAACAGGAAGAACAAAATTCATCTTCAACAACACAGACAAGTATAAATGCTGAAATGTTGCTGTGCAAGGTAGAGGTAGAGGTAGAGATAAACCAGACTTTTCAGATCTAGACCAGTTTTAGATCTGCCCCCCTCCATGCACACACTCCCAAAAGTTCCTGTTGCCAATAATTTCATTTGAATCAGACTGTCAGCATCATCAAACTCAAACAAGTCTGTGTGCTCCTTAGAATGCTCTGATCTGGAAAACTATTTCAGTTTTCTGTAGAAATCAGTTGCTGAATAACCTGACCCTTGGTTCTGCGACTTGTGCAGCAAAGGGAGAGGCAGGAAGATTATACAGACCAATGAATGCTCTCTGGATGATGTCAACTAGGACAAGTAGATGGTAGAGCCCTTTTAGGAATTGCAATAGTCCATCAGCTCCTCAGTGATGCACCCAGAGACCATGCCTGGATTTCCTCCTCTGGAAAGAGCATGGTCAGCAGGAATATCCCAAACCAACAAGTACTGGCTGCAGGGAGAGCCAATTGCCTTACACAGTCTGTTGACACCGAAAACTCACAGAGGAAGACACAACTCAAGAACCCTCTGTACAAAGCAGCAAGTATCTTGACATACTGAAATATAAAAACTAAAAATTGCACTGCACACAGATTTTTCCAAACGAACTCAAGACAACCAAAGTCAGATCGTACAAACCGTTAGTTAAAAAAATACCTTCTTGTATATTTTGAGAAGAAGTGGAAAGAGTCTTCGTGCAAATGTTCAGCCTGGATCAAGCAGAGGACATAAAGTTGTTGTAAACACATTAGTTCCTTTGTCATCAGCCATATGTGCCCAGTGTTATCTATCTTCTGCAGTATAATTGGGGTTAGGAAATCCGTTTCTTCTGTAAATATCACCTTTCAAATTCCACTGATGTAACATCAAGATACTACTGGTGTCATATCCCACAACTGTTAAATACAATAAAATAAAACAACATAATGAATAATAGTAAAAATAGAATCTTTATATAGTATAATTTACACCTCTTTAATTAAGAGGCACAGAATGGTTAGAGGTGGATGCCACAAGTCTGAAGAAGTTTGATTTCATTTTCCAGCACTTATGTCAGAGTGGTGGAAGTTGACAAAATGACATTTTTTATGTCACCAGCTTTCACCTCTATGAGCCAGGTTCATAGCTGGCCTTAAAAGAAACCAAAAAAACTCCTACTACATTACTAACTTCAATGATCAGAACAGTCATAACACATTGTGAGGGTTTTGGTTTTTTAAATTACCTAAACTGTTATAATTTAGTCATTATTTTAGCTATTTCTTTATCTAACCACACTGAGATTTGGCATGTTGAAAAACAGTTGATCTTCCTCAAGGGACAGCTACAGTGAGCACTTGTCCCATCCCCTTCAGGCAACAACCTCATAGACCAAGACCTCCTTGGTCCTTATTGGGCAGGAATCCCAATCCCATTCCCAATCCCAATCCCAATCCCAATCCCAATCCAAATTCTAAGTGAGAAGTCTCTGGGTGGAAGAAGGCAGGTATGACATCCTGCAGCCACATGGGAGAGGGAATGGAAATGAAGTACAGGAGCTGGAGCACATTCCTTGCTCCTACCTTAATGACCTTGTCTGTTCCCGAGGTCAGCAGCCATCCCCTGGTGGCATCGAAGTGTACGTGAACAATGTTGTGCTTACTGTCATGGAAAGTAGCTGTAGGTGCTCTCCTGAAGAAAGAAATCCAAAATCAGCAAGAACTGTAAACTGTAGGCTTTCCCCCCAAAATGCTCTCTGTGGAGGAAAAAATATTTGACTGCTGCTGTAAGCCATCAATTCAGCAACCACTCTTTAAACAGCACTTTGAGACCTTTCTGGCATGAAAGGAACAGGGGCGAGGGGCTCTCTATCCCTTCTGGCTTGATCTCCTCCTGTCCTGCTGAGAAAGCCCAGGGAGCACCGTGCCAGGCTGCTCCCTCCTGGAGCCCTGCAGCCCCGAGGCCCTGCTGCAGGGCAGTGCAGCTCAGTGCCCACACTCACTCCTCGTCCGTGATGGACTCGTGGCAGCTGTCGCAGACCCTCACTTCGAACTCGAAGCCCATCAGGGGGATGGAGGAGCGCTTGGAGCTGCACTTCCCGCACACGGCCTTCCCGCACTTCCGGCAGTGATGCTGCACGACACAACAGGCACAAACACTTCTCAGGCCACAAAGCCGGACCAGCTCCCTGCTCAGGTCTGCTGGCTCTTCCATCTCACTCCAGCAAGACACGAGGCAGCTCAGCTCTGCCCCAGACATTCATTTCTCAAGTTCCATGAGTACATGCAGCACCTCAACACCCCTTCAGTAAAAGTCTGCAATCTGCAGCCCTCTCCTGCTAGGCAGGAAAACACAGCATGTTTCAAGCAGACCAGTGAGCCTTTGTTGGGAATTTAGCTGACTAGAGACTGGAAAAGTACAAGATTGTGGCTAATTCCAAGTCCTGCACCTGCAAGATAGTGTGTCCTTGGGCCTAGCTGAGTATGATAAAAAAAATGGACAGCGAGACGTGAGAAGTAGAGAACACAGGCCCAAAGGAATGAGGAAGAGTTGATGGTATAGTTTAACCAATAGATTGCTTGGCTTATAGAATATTCATAAGCTTATTATTTGCTGTATAAGTGTTTGATGTTTTCTTCAATAAACTGGACCTGTGATGAACCATCTGGTGTCCTGGTCCCCTTCCTTCGACAAGCCTTTCCCAATACAGCCTGAGCAGGTAGAGATGTTTATCCAACCTCATTGAAAACAGCTTTGGTTCCAGCACAATCTCCAAAAATCAGCTGTAAATTTCTTTCTGTAACTTATTTGACTAACAATGAGCAAAGTCCCCCATGGCTAAAGTTATGGAAGGCCCCAGATATACTCAGCTCAAGGTCTATTACATGCTTTTGCTATTGGGATTGATTGGAGAAAAACTAGTGTGTTCCTTTCAACCACAAAATCAAGCCACTGTCCCACCCCTGAGTGCTTAGTGGAAGAACAAAATGCAAATTCTCAAAGCTTTAGGGGGCAAAAGGGTTACTAGAATCCATTATGAAAGAAAAGTTTAATAGCACCATGTTAACACACTGAAGGGCACATACAAACCTGCCTGAGGCCTATTTTCTTACTGTCCCACATCTGCTTGAAGTTCCAGAAGAAAGGCTGGTCACATTTTTGACAGGAGTCACTATCCAGCCACTCCGGGGTCTGCAACACACACATATAAACACAAAGTGAGCAACAAGTAGAAAAATTTCCAAGGGAGCCTAGAGGCAGGACAAAAAAGATGTGTTGTGGTGTGGCAATATAGCCAGCTAAGCTTGATTTAATATCTCAATTTTCCCAAGATGCCATTCTGACTGTTGTTGATGATGACAAGATGATATTTGTTCCCTGGGATGTCTTTTCTGGCTTAACTTTGAAGGACATGGAAGGAACAGTTCTCATCCCAATCATGAAGAAGAATTTGATAATAAGACCACAGAAACAACCCTATTTTATATAAAAATATTTTGTTCTGTCCTGTCTGGACAGCATTTACAATCTGCTATTGCCTCTGGTGGGAGCTGGGGTCAATCAGTATTTCCAACAGCCAAGCAAATAATCTGAAGGGAAAGGGAAGTTATGGGAAGTGCTGATGTTGTCAGAGGTTTTCACATTCTTTCTTTAACACTCTAAGAGGAGTTCCTGCTGTCAGAGGTGCCCGTGCTACAAATCACACACAGGGATCAGAAAGATGTGATTCAACTGAACCAGCCTAAGACCCAAACCAAACCCAAGCTTTTTTCCCTCATCAACCCATGAGGTTAAATAAACACTAAATATTGTTTAACACTTTGTGAGGAAGTGCTGTTAGCAAACTGCAGTTATCTTGTCAGAGCCACTGGTTTCTCACATGCTGCAAATTAAAATGGCAAGAAACACAGCTGAGATAAAGAACTACAAACAATAGAAAAGCCAGGCAAAGGTAAGTTAAGGATGGATTGAGACTCTCAGCTCCCAGGAGAGCTTTGACTCCCAGCAATAAAGCAATCACCTGTTTAATATTCTTCTGCCAGTTATTCTGAGGGCAGTTCATTCTGCTGGGGAAAAGCCTTGTCTTTTCTACCCACAACAGTCTTTCTTTTTAATGTCTACAGATTTACATCTCTGTGTATAACTTTCCATCTCTTGGGCATTTGAACACTACAGATGAAGAAAACATTTTGTTTGTGACAACTACTTTGTAGCCAAACAGAAAGACAGCTTATAGCACCTTTCAAACACCTTCTTACAGCTTTTTAAAAATTGAGTTGAAAATAAAGAATCAAGGGCTAAAATGGCTTAAGTGACTCTAACAATCTCAGTAATGTGGGAAAGTCTGGTAGCAACAAAATGAATACCGAGCATGGATCACATGGAGAAAATCCTTAAATAAGAGCAAAGATACAAAAGCCAAAATACAAAAGAAAGTGATCTAGGATCCCAAACCAAGGTTTGATATTAAAATCTCAAAGATTCATGTTTTGGGGGTGGTTTAGCACCAAGAACACCCTGTTGTGCTGCTGATAACAAGAACAAGCCCACATAGCCATAGTCTGGGAAAGCTGTGCACCATTAGCACCTGCTGCTTGGCCTTTATTTGGCTAATAATATTCCTCCTCTATATTTTAAACCAGCCTTCTCACTGCCTATTTGGTGACAAGCCAATCTTAACCCTTACTGTAGCCTTTTGAAGGCAGCAAATAAATAAAGGTTTTCATTTCTGGATGTTTGAATTGCAGCAAAAAGGAAACATCTGTTGGGAAGGAGGAAACTGCTCTGCTTTCGTTTCCATTTAGGAGCTGATGACATACTTGGCCCCTGGATTAGCAATTAAAGAGAGTCAACTGGAATGCTAATTCACATTAAAAAGGGAGCTCAGCTTCTGCCTATGCCTACTTCAGTAGTTTTTTAAAATCAGGTTTTCCACTTAGCGTTTTTTCTTCCTCAAGGGAGACACACTCAATCCCATGCAAGCCACAACTCTTGAGAACCAGCAAAGCTGGTGAAAGCCCACACTGCCAAAAAGCTTCCTCTGACCTACCCCCTGCAGCTTCCTCTGCAGGGTAGAGGCTTGCTGTGACTCATGGCACCAGGATTTGCCAAGCTCCTGGGCAGGGCTGGTGCCTGACTCAGCCAGCACAGAGCTCACCCTGCCACCTCTGAGTCAGGACTCAGAAATTGCCAAGTGGGGGCTGCTCCCACAGTGCCAAGGCCTGGGGAGCGTTTCTGCACCCGCTCAGATTTGTTGGCCACGAAGCACAAAAGCAATTAGGAATGTGTGGGTGAAATCTTGCTGTTTGGATCAGCAAAGCCATCATTTACCCCACTTCTATATGGTTACACCAGAGGGAAGCTAGACCAATTGCTTGAAACCTTAGTTAAATGTCCTCTTATCAAGGAAAAAAATGCTGGGTTGTGTTTTTCCAGATATGACCAAGAGCCTTCTTGGTTTACTTTTTTAAAACCAAAATGAATCAATCATTCCATCCATTTACATCTGAACTGATATTTCTCCTGACGTGCAGAAAAACACAGCAGAGCATCTCAATACCCTCCTTACAGAATATCTTTCAGAGCAGTAATGTAATGAGCAAGAGCCATTTAGCAGCCTATTTAATACTTATTTCTGCCTGCCGATTTCTCCTGTACCATATTATCAAAGGCACGGCGTAATTGCTTTATAACAACTGGAGCACATCCACAAACATTTTCAAAGCTTGGAATGATCTTGTTTATGTTGAAAGCTGCACATTTTAGAAAGGCCCCTTCTTCCCAGGACTGCTTCAGACCAAACTGACAAGAACTAAGCATCTACCTCCTGCCTCTCAACATCCATGTTCCAGACGACAATTCCCCCGTCTGCACCGCAGGAGATGAGCTGCCGAGTGTGGTGAGCATAGGACAGAGACTGGACTTTATCACTGGGAAAGAAACAAGACAGTTAGCAATCAACCACCTATGGCTACTGCACAAGTGAGCACAGAATATCAATAAAGCAGTACAAACCATTTGTTTGCCCATATGTTTCCCTCCACCACTCATTGCACATGGCATCCATCAGATGCAAATCAGTCTTTGCTGTCAGACTGGGACCAGAATGAGAGTGTTGCTCATCTGGGCAGCATCCACAAAAGCAAAGACGTGTTCTGATAACTGTTTTTTCTGTTCCTGAGACAGGAGGTCCCAGCTGCACTGGGAAGCCTCAACAAGGTTGCAGCTTCTGAAGGCACATCTGGATGCATGAACACAGCCCTGGTATCTTACAGATATCTTGGCAGAATGTCAGTAACAACTTTGTTTTGTAAATCTCTGCAACATCTAGAAATGAATCACTGAAAAACTACTGAAGATTTTCTTTTGACACTAACAAGCATAAGGAGTTTGAAAAATAATGTAGGAATGACACTAAATTGTTCCTAAACCTTCTCACAGTAAGGTAGAAAATGTAGGTGTTTCTGTTTCTTCTTTTAATGAAAAAACAACATGAGAGGAACAATTCAGCTTAAACTCCTAAAGATGGGCTTAGTCCTTCATAAAAGAATAAATTCAGGCCTCATCTCAGGCTGTTTACAACCTCGGATACAAAGACTGTACAACACTATTATGGAAAAAAACAAGGTTGTAAAGACACAGAAACCAGTATATTTACTGTGACTGGAAATCATCTACAAGATTTGGTTTCCTTTGCTACCACCACTGCTCTTGTCTGCCAAAAGGACTTGTATGCTAACACATTTATTTGTGCCTATGGTTGAACATGAAGAGAGGAATGCATTCATGGGAGAGCTTGGAACAACAGGGCCACCCTTCACAGTGCCTGCCTGCAGACACCAGAGGCACATCAGGATGTGTAGGATGCTGTGTTGTACAGCTCCAGCTGACAGCCATCTCACAGATTAAGGTCCAGAGGCTAATTTCATATTAGAACTAATTTCCACAGCAATAAATCAAGTGGTGATGCATTAGCAAGCACCACTGGTAGAGTATGATGTTGATCTGGTAATTTCAGTTAGAGCTCTGCAGTGCTCTGAAATCCCAGAGGCATCCCAATCACTCAGCAGAGTGCAGCATCACTCAAAAGAAATGCATGAATATGTAAGAAACTGTTAGCTCAAAACCACCACGGGATTTTGCCTCTCCAGACCTGAGCCTGGCATGCAAGTCCCACATATATGCAGTCCCAATACTCTAAAGCCAACATACTGCCTTGCCAGAGTTAAAAGGTGAGGAGTCATTGTCACTAGAGCCGTTCTGATGCATAATCAATGCCCAGCACGGGCTTACCCATCTTCAAAGACACCAATGGCTGTGCAAATGTACTTGCAAAGATGATACTGAGGAGATGTGAAGGCAGCTATGATTAAAGGTAAAAGCAAATCGCTTTGAATTCAGGCTGTAGGTGAAAGAGCACGGAGGAAAAAGGGATTAATTGTCCAAGCCCGGTGCTCCCTCTAGGGGAAGGAAAGACCTTGACACCTGAAACCCAAGAATTTCCCTGCAGCTGCTCTCATTTGAGGAGCGTCCTCTTTCCAACAAAGGCACAGGCTCTGGCATAACACTTTCAGGACTACAGATTTTGTGCTTTCCTTCACCACCCTCTGCAGACTCTTAAAACAGCCTGTGGGCCCAACACTGGAAAACTTACTATAAGCAAAATATTCCTGTTGTATATGGACCCCAGGGAGTCACACAAACAAGCTTGAGGCTTGTGAAGACTGTAACCTTTGGGCTGTTTGTTTCCAGATGTGGCTTCTGCATTTAGCTTTTCTCCTACAAAAGCAGGAGGAAGGGCTTTGAACGTACTTATGTCCTTGCAGCTCGATGGCTGTTCCTTTTCTTCCTCCAATATCCCACATGATAATGGAATGATCAGAACTGCCTGAGAATAAAACTCGCTGTATTGGGTCCCAGCAGAGAGCAGTGACACCACCTGCAACAGGAACACACACATCAGTCATTTTATTACAGGAACTGGAAGATTGGAAGGTAGCTAAATGTAAAGATACAAAAAAAAAATGGAGTGATTAAAATGTATCTCTTTGGCAAAGAGTGTGCAACCGTGCCTTCCAGTGGAAAACTAACAGTCTAGAAAAACTACTGAAACCCCATCCTGGTCTTCTGTGGGCACAGGGCTTCACTGCTGTTTGCATAGGTGAATCCATTGAGCAGTAATGGGGAAGAAGAATGGTCACAGTGGGAGCTACACAACCTTCCATCTCCATAATTTCCAGAAGATTAAAAAAGAAACAACTGTGGAATGCTATGGGCATCTTCTCAGTCCCCTGGCACAAGGACCGAACTACATTGTGCTATCTTGAACTATTAGCACTTAGAGAGGAGGGATATGAAGAAAAAATGCTGAGGAATGACAGCATTTCTTCTGTTAGATGGTAGGATCATATCCAGGGTTGCTCTTTTCAAAGGGTGATGGAGCACAAGTCTCAGCAGTGAAACAAGCATTTAGTGCCTCCAAGCTGTGCCTATTCCACGTGGGATGAAGTGTCTGTCAATAAAGATCTTGTCTTGAGCAGCATCCTTTCTCCCAGCCTGAACTGCCACAACTTGTTCAAGACTCACTCTGCTTTAATTAGCAGATTGTGGCATTTTCTGCCATAGATTCTACTGATTGTGGCATCTTCTTCTGACTGTGGCATTTTCTGCCATAGAGGTGTTCTGCTAAGAGTTCTGATCGCTCTTGTTTTTACCAAAACAGCTTCCCTGAACTGCTGGAACAGTTTCAGAGCTATGTCCCTTCCATGCTAAGCACTGACACAAGCCATCCTAGTGTATCACAGGACAATCAAACCACCATGATGCTGAGCACAGATGAAGACCCTCCTGAGCACCTTTCTGGGTCTCCTCCTGAGGCCTTACCTGTGTGTCCTTTAAATGTGGTGACAAGGCTGCAGGACTCTTGCTCTAGTTTGAGGATGGTCACTTGCCCAGAATGGTCACCAACAAACACATGCCGAGTTTCCACATCAAATCTGAAGGATAGATGCTGAGGAAAATACATTATTTACATGAGCTCTGCATTCTTTTCATGACTTGCTAATTCTTTTGACATAAGTACACTGCAATCTTGTGAACAGTGCTCCAGTCTCAAGGAGGAATTCAGAGTGTACTTTCAGGCACCTGTTCATCTTAATAATGCTCATACCTGTTCATACTAATAGTGCAGTATCCCTGGGTGAGAAAAAAACGAGACTGTTATGAAACACCATTGAAGTAGCCCTTCACCATGAACATAAGAGTGTCTCCTCAGGCCTTGTAACTTAAGTACTAGAGTTGGATGGTATCCACTCTTTCCCTACCCAAAATTATACAAAATACAAAGGAGTACTGATTTTAAGCACACAGGGCACTGCAGAACAAAAAACCCCAAACCTGTTCTGGGTTAGGCCAAATATTTTTGCAATATTTGCCAGTGATATTCTCCCTTCCACTGCTTCCATTGCCCTCCACTATCATAATCAGATGACCCAAATAAAATTGTCCTCCAAAAGTTTTAATCAGTCAAAATTGGCTGTTCTCTGGTGAGATTTAGGGAACACAGGGCAAATTCTTACATCTTGCTTTCAAAAATATTTATCAATAAATTAGAAAGTAAGTTCAGTCTTTCTGCCATTTAGATTGGCTGAATTACCAGATAATATCAAGCAAGTCCATCTTGAAACAATAATTTTCAGTCAGTATCACTTCTCATGAACTAGCAAAACATGCATCATCTATAGAACATACACTCTGGGGCATTAAAAAGTCTGTTTATGCTAACCCCTGTTTTCAGCCTAAGAGCTCATGCTTTTCCATTTCCCTTTTCATTTGCAATAAAGCTGAATTAATATTTCTTTTATTGTCAGGCAGCTGGGGCAGCTCTACATGAATAAGCCACCTGAGTGCCATTTCTGGAGTAATTTACTTTTTAGTTAACCCAAATTCCCAACACATAGTAAGCAGTTCCAGAGTGAAGGACAAGTGCTCATTATTTTATATTAAAGTAATTTAATTTTTACCATGCATACACACAGGCACTCTGACCTGATCACCAACCTACTTTTGCTACCATTAATCCTCTGAAGAAAGCATGCACTGCATGTTTAAATGAAGGCCCTATCTATATTTATTACAATAGCAGACCACAATAGGTTGCAGATCGCCCATTGTGGTGCTCAAAAATGCTTAGACCTAAATATGCCACAACACATTAAGGAGACAAAGCAAGGAGAACTGACAGTTTTTTAAATTGGATTTAAATAACAGTTTCTCTCACAAAGCACTGAGTCCATACAGGGCACAGAATGTGGAGGACAGCTAGACAAATAAACGAAAAGGGCTGTTTGAGTGCCCAGGAGCAGAAAGAGCATGGAGGGCCCAGCAAAGGATACTGCAGACCGCAGGCGCCCGCGCTGGTGCGGTACCCGCCCAGCCGCTGGCCGCTCTCCGAACAGTGCCACGTGAAGTGCTTGTCTTGGCCCGTGCTCAACACCCACTCCATCTCCAGGACAAACAGAATCATGATGACCCTGCTCTGATGAGCTGAAAGTTAAGCAGACAGACATACAATCACATTGCAGAGAAGAACATGGGGGCAGACAACCATTGCAAACACCTACTGCACCCGACTCCTCCACTCACACTTCCCTGCAGAAGCAGCTGGTGTTTAATAATCCTGTTGACATCAGCTTCTATGGAAGCTTGTAAAGTCCCTGCTCTGCATGTTCAGCGTTCGCATGAGAAAGAGTGGAAGCAAGACTTAATTCCTTCCATGCCTATTGCAGTCATTTATCTTCTACATCAGCACAAGTCTTCCCTCCATCATTGCATCATCACTAAGAAAGCTGCCACTGTGGAATGGACTTGGGGTTCCATTTAAACCTCTTTTGAGCTAGTTTTTTGACAGCAATGAAAATGCCTACACTGCTGCTCCTCTTGCTGTGAAGTTCTGGTGGATCCAGGCTGTGGTACCCCAGCAGAACAATGAGTTACAGCACAGGCACAATGCTGCACCTCTGGCTGTGAAGTTTTGGTGGATCCAGGCTCTGGTACCCCAATAGAACGATGAATTACAGTACAAGCACAACGCTGCACCAAAGGGAAGTTTCAGCATTAAAAGGTTACTAGAATAAAATTTAAATAAAAGAAAATATCACAGCTGTGGTAGATGCATAAAACTGCTGAAGAAAGAAGCTTCAACTGCTAACAAAATAAAGCCATCAAAAAGTTTTCACTAAAACAAGGGAACACATGCTTGCTTTTGTATGAATGACCAGTGGGCTTGGTCATGAAGTGCTGATTGAGCTGATATTCTAATGAAACAAATGGCTGGAAAGACATTCAGAACTATTCCCAACTGTAACTTAATGGTGAAAGCCATACTCCTCAATCTGGAGCCCTACCAGCTTATTACAGCAACATATGTCACACAAAATAGACTGCTCGTATTTGTTTGTGCAAAAGCTGACACAAAAAAAGACTGAATATGTTTATAAGCTTAAAAACCAGCCCCAAACCTCCATGTGAAATGCAGAGAATCACCTCAGAACAGTACGGGAAGACTGCTGTCTGCCCTATACAAATATGCAGCATATATGAGAGCTGTGTTCAAACACCACAAGGCAGAACTACCTGAAGGAAAGAAGAGGAGGCTCCCAAGAGCCAACACCAGCTCTGATCCACACTTTTTCAGACTGAAATTCCCTGAGCAGAAAAATCAATAGATGTATTGACAGAACTTGCCATAATGGTGACTGGCAGCTAAACCAAAGTGTCATGTGTGAACTGTGCCCAGATGCTTTCACCCTTGCCCATTTGAAGACCTCAGATTTTTGCTTTTACACACACAGCTTTTACATTCCAGATAAAAGAATGGGGACCATCCAGGAGTCATTTGAACTATTTCAAATAGGTCCCATCTCCTCTCTACCCTTGCTTTCTCTGGGAAGAAATTCAGTGGCCCCTGGGTGGGGGTGGCTGAACACCTGCACCAGCCAGTGGAGTGCTGCACTTGGAGAGGGACATGACTGCTGCCACAGGCACCTCATGGGCTCACAAACGTTCCAGGAGCTTGTGTGAACCATCAATACCACAGACATACCCATGTATTTCCACAGGATGTGCAAACCTGGCTGAGATCAGACTGCTCAAGGCCTCTCCAGGAATTTTTTCTCAGCATGTGGCAAATGCTACTGCTAGTGACAGCTTCTTATGGTTTAAATTGATTGTGAGCGTAACTGGCACCACCCAACTCTCCTAAATCTCCTTCTACCTTCTGAAACTTCTAAAAAATGGGGTTTGTAATTTTTGATAGAAGTAGTGCCTGTGGATGCTGAAGCAGCTCTTTCTGGCAAGTAAGAAGCAGACATTAAAAGATGGTACTTGCCAAGGGGTGGATGGGGTGTACATGACAGCTTTGCTTATCCTCCCTCCCTAAAAGAGCTTTCAAGTTAGCACTCTGTTGTCCACCTGCACATATTAGCTGGTGCAATCAGACATGTGCTGATGGCAGATACATCTGAAACAAGTGAAAATCTACAGTGCAGATCATCTAAGTAAAAGAGCAAAGAGAAGACAAATGCAAGTAGAAAGTCACTTGTCGTTAAGAGGGCATTTGACTCCTGTAAGGCTTAAAGAAGCAAAATATCAGTAGATTGGAAGGTGATGGAAGAGCAAGGAAGGGGTCTGGGCCCTAGGATTAACACAGGTTCAGCACCTTGAAGCAACAAATAGAAAGCTGGTCCTTTACGTATTGAAGATTTGATCACCATTTTTATGCAGAAAAAATGTGGAGCAAACAATTCCAAAACTGCTCAAACAGCAGAATGGAGATGGGGGATGAAGTGTAAATGTGCTCACTGCACAGGAAAACTCTCACCAGGCAAGAGCAGATCTGTGTAAGCCAGAATAAGAAGGGAGCCATTTGTTGGGAAAAATCATGCTGTACAAGAAAGGAGAGAAGGAGCAGAGAGGAGAAGGGCACAGTTACATGTGCAGCTGGAGGGCAGAGGGAGCAGGATGGCTGCTCTCCTGTATGAGAAAGCAGCAGGAAGCACTATGCAAAGAGCAGGTTGGAGAGAGGATGGAAAGGCTGTGCCCAGAAAAAAGAAGCTGCAGCCAGGAGGTGCACAGCAAGATGTCCGCAAAGGAAATGGAGGGTCAGTGCTGTGCATAAAGGCAAAAGTCTGAGAAGCATGGCCAGTGCACAGCCACACAGTGTTGGGCAAGAAGCTGTTCTGAGGGGTTACAAATGTAAAAAGTATGAGCAAACAACAAAACAGAGGTGGAAATTGCAGGAAGAAAAAAAAGCTTGGCATGAGCAAGAAAAGCACAAGTGAAGAGGCTGTGCTTAGGAGAAAGCAGAAATAAGGGCATGACATGAGCTAGCCTGAAAGCAGAGGGATAGAGGGCCACCCTTGAAAAAGGTGCTGCACAAAGCATGGGGCAGAAGTAGGCCTGCAAATCTGGCTAAGCAGAAAAATCTGTGTCAAATAAATAAATAAAAACCAAAACACTGAACCAGGAGCTGTTATCCAGAGGGAGCACAGCAAAATGGTCCAGCTACAGGAAGCAGGCTGGAGAAGGCCATAAAGAATTGGAAGCACTGACAGCCATATGGACCAGCCTGTGAGGGGCTGGAGGGGGCTGGAATCCAAGGCTGGTGAGAGAAGGGAAAGGTTTCTTGGAAGAATGTGGGAGGAGCTGCCCAGGGAGGGAGCAGAGGTTGTCTACACCTTCAGCTGGTGTTGTGACTGAAGAATGGGAATGATGATATGGGAGACAGACACACGATGAAAAAAGTTTATTTCCCAGGGCATCCCAAACGGCACTGATCAAATGCTTGCCCTCCTCCTTATGCAAGGGAATGAGTCAGTGCCTGCAGGAGGCCAATGCCACAAGACCCGCCCCGGAGTCCTGACTAATCCTGTGTCACATCCCCCATCTCTGCATTCAGATTCCTTTAAAGAAATAAGATTTCACAACTCCAGACACAGTGTTGCAGCAAAACCTCCACAGTGCATGTCCAGCCATGTACATCACCAAGGCCAGGCTCCATAAGCCACTAGACCCGGCTGCACACCCCTAGCAAGATCAAAGCACAGCCTATCCATGTGCTGTCATTCTCTGTCACCAGAAGATCATTTGGCCAACATATTCATGGCCTTTCAAGACACAATAAATGTTCTTTAATCACTACAGCAGCCTCAGCTATTTATAATAATGCCTCGTTGTGGGAGATGATCAACAGCCCACCAGTCAGTGAACAAGGGCACTGCTGACCATTTACAAAGCTAGCAAACACAAAACCAGCCATCATGATTCAGCTAAAGCTACTTACTATCAATATTTAGCCACTTTGTAGGCTAAATAAAAGTACTTACTCCTCCTAAAATACTTTTGAAGAACATAAAGGTCTTACTTGAAAACTTTAAGCAAAACTTTTCCAAAGTAAGACTTTTAGCAAATGAACCACTAGAAGGCCACCAGACCCAACAAAACCACCTGTTCCTTTTTAATTTTTCCTTGCCCAGGTTTTAACAAGATGCTTATGCCAACCCCAAAACTCAGTATGGCCATGTGAGAAATGTGCACTGCAGGGATAGGATTGTGGAGGGAGTCCTACTGCTCCATGTGAGGAGCGCGCATCTCTGTTGGATCCTGATATCTCTACCCAAAGGACTACACTGCTCTTCCCTGCATATTCTCCCAGACAGCATATTGAAAACGTGGCTCTTTCCTCCTTGCTGTGTGCCAGCTGGTCTTTGGACCCAGTGAGGCCACTGGTAAGCCCAGATCCAGTGTTCTGGTTGGAGGCAAAAGTAGCAAGAGGAGCATGAAAGTGCCTAACACTGTGTGGAGCAATGGAGCTACAGGATCCTGTGACTGGCAGCAGCTCACAGAGCACCTCACTTTTTCAGTGTTTCCCCAGAACTCCAGATCTCCAGCATAGACCCAGGGATCAGACAGATAGGGTGCTACACTCCTTCACCAGCACCTGGTGTGAGAGTGGAGGATCCAGAAGCATGTCTTTTTGGAGGGAGCTGGTGGGAGGCACTGTGCTGTGGAGCAGCAGGCAGCCCCAGGTCATTGGTGCCCTGAAAAAGTGGGGATTCTCTTCAGGGTTTTTTTTTTTCTTTTTCCAGTCTTGCACAGTCAGAAAACTGTTCACTGCAATTGTGCAGGTGTGTGCAGTGAGACACTGGCCCAAGTTGTCCAGAGAAGCTGTGGATGCCCCATTTCTGGAAGTGTCCAAGGCCGGATTGGATGGGGCTTTGAGCACCTGGTCTAGTGGAAGGTGTCCCTGCCCATGGCAGGGGGGGTTGAACTTACTGATCTTTATGGCCCCTTTCAACCCAAACCACTCTATGATCCTATGAAAAGCCTTCCCAGACAGGCTAGGAAGAAGATGACTCTAGTTAGGAGAGTGGTCACCTAACTCTCCTATCACATAACTCTCCAGTGATGTTAATGTACACTCCTTTGTGAATCCTTTGCTCTCCAATATTTGGGGAAGCTGAGCTTTGGGTTTCCCCCAAGGACAACCCATACAGGTTCTCCATGACATCTTCCTATCCAAAGGCCTCCTCTAATGTTTGCAACACATCTGGTATATTGCAGAAAGCCACAAAGAACAGCTTCCATTTTCCTTTTTTAATGTTATGAGCATTCTTGCCCAGACCTTCAGTGGGCTGTCACAGCCAACAGGTTTTCTGAAATACTGCCAAGAAATGCATTCCCCCTCTTACAAAATTTTCAGCATTTTCCCTGAAGAACTCATCACGAAAGCTGTTCTCATGCCTATGTTGTTCTGCATATACAGAAGGAAAGACCTCAGCTCACCCTCTCTAGTGACACAACATTTAAATATGAAACAAATCTGCATTGAACTTTGGTGACTGCAGAGCAATCATAAATTTGGATATTAACACCTGTACAGTCAGACTGCAACAATCTCATATAAGATTCATAAATATAGATATTTTATATAAATATTTTATCATTATTGGATATTTTTCTTCAGTTTTTACAAGCTAAGAAAAAATGCAGGCATTCTAGCTTAATTTTACAACACACTAGACATTCATGAAACACTCAATGTTAGCCATGCTCTGCAAAAATCAAGATTCTCTTCATACTTTAAAATTCAAATGTTACAAAGTGATCCCCAGAGCCTCCATTTAGAGATTTAAATTATCCTTTCAAGGTATAAAACCCAAAATATATGAGTAAGAACATATTTTAAAATGTATGTGAGAAATGTCAAGCTAACATGTCAGAGCTTCTATACAGAAACATAATGCTTAGTATATAACATGATACCATAAATTATCATACCACCTCTTAGTCTAACAGCAAAAAAGTATATAAGAATAAATTGTCATATGTATTTGTTACTTTTATAAGAATGCCTGCAAAAACAGTGTCCTTTAGAAGTTTGAAAAGGATAAATAGGTTTCTGAAAACATCACATTAGTGAACACCAGACTCTAATTAGAAAAGGTATGGACCAGCATTTCTTGACCTTTTACTAGGAGAGGTATTCACTGATAATTATTGTGGTTATTGGAAATGATAGCTACTGAAATATAATCAGACTAACCCCAAAAGCTTCAGCCTTAAAATATGGTTTAGTTTCCTAAGTTGTTTCAGTAGATACAATGGATTACTGAAGATTGAAAATTAAAACTCCTATTCCCCAAACGTGGACAGTTTGCTGTCTACTGTGATATTCCATTCCAAAGAAACATTTAAAAGGAAAAACAGAACAAGAAACAGCTCTTTTAAAGTTCTTGTAATTTCAGAACAAAACACAGTATAGATCTATTGACAAAACCAGCACTTACATAAGTTTTAAAAAAATCTAACATTGTAAGGGAAACTTTTCCATTCATACTCCTTAAGAAAACACTAACAAAAATTAATGACAATACAAACCAATTAACATGGGTCATGGTTCTTACCCTGGTAACTTTTCACTAGTGTCATCTTGTTGTAATCCTCTGATAAAATGAATTCCTGAGGGAGGGAAAGAAAAAACAAATGAAACAGGACTTAGAGATGTGAAGTGTTTGACACTGTTTACATTTGAATACTTTACCTAGGTAAGCTCTCCCTTCTTCACAACCACAGCCCTATCTATACTTTTAATAATTTTGAGTACCTGAAACCCTGAATTATTTCACTTTTAAAAGCTGCCTAAGGCAATATTATGAGTGCTTCTGAATAGAATGGACAAAAGAGGAACCATTAAAAAAGAAATCAAAAAAGCTGGCAGAAATGACTGGCTGTGAGGTGAGGTGCCACAAAATAAGGAACCTGAGACCTGGTGAACACCTGCTGCTCAGAAACCTGCCTATGTGCACAGCTATGTGTGCCCACACGTACATTTGTGTATACTCATGTATCCATGTGTGTGCATACACTAAATACACCCCAACCTGAGCACTCAGGAAATACAATATAAATATCTAAGAGACCCTCCAAATTGCTCAGTCCAGTCTAGGTAGCAACAATACGTGATAGGAATGGAATGCATTTCAGGTTTCTGTTAAAAGCCTCTCAGTGTTTCAGACAAACAGAAACCCAAACTTCTCTGTGTCCAGAGAAGAGCACACCTCTAGGGACAGGCTCTGTTGTCTTGGTGCTGCTATTCAATTTCCAATATGGCTTTGTATGGCAAAATGGCAGCCTCAGCTCCTAAAAAAGTCCCAGGTGGGTAAACTCATTGACCACCTGGGTGCTCCTGCAGATCATTTTGAAGAGGAGAGTTACTCAAATCTGGGGAAACAGAATGGCCACTACCAAACTCATGCAAGATCTCTGGAGGAAGCACTCAAGCAAAGGGTAGGCTTTGTGGCAGCACCACATGAAGTAGATTTCAGAGAGCTGTCAGGTATCTATGTACATACATCACAAATTTAGAGAAACACAAAGTAAAAAATGTAGGAGTGTAAAACCACATAATTTTAATAATTTATAGCAAACTACACAGAAACTCCCTGTACTAATCTGCCTAGAGGACAAAAGTAAAACCTAACTCATTTAACCTGAAATAGGATGGAAAAATAAAATAAACATTACAAACACAAGATAAGCGAATTTGATAAACATACAGTTGCGAAATGTTCCTGTGCACATGCCAAAAGCACTAGAGAAAACTGGACTTCAGAAGCATAGAGACTATGTTTAAGGCAAACCAAATGTTTAATGCAAAAGAGCAAAAGACATTCTAACCCCCAACAGGCCGGTATTCCCCCACCCCAGTTTCCAAAGTACAATTTAAAAACAAGTCACTCTGGATTTTCTGTTGGGTCACTGCAGGTAATCTGCCTGGCCTTCAGCACCAGAATTATTCAAACACATCACATCTACAGCTTGGCACCAAGGTGGAGAGGTTACAGTACTCATCTGTGGAACATCTACAGATCCCAGCTTCCAGAAAAACAACTGCGAGTGATTTGAGGCAGCTATGTATTCGGCTCTCTCTATGTTTCTGTTCATAAATTTGTTACAAATACATTCTCCTAAATTGCTCTCTACTTTTTATCTTCCTTTCTTTACTGCTCCAGCTCCCAGTAGGTTTCTCTGGCAACTGAGGACCACAGTGGGGAGTATTACTTAAACAGCAGTAACAAATAAATTAAGTCAGCTGGATTTCTATACCAGGGTCACCCTAGCTCTACAAATCACAGAAAGTTTAAAAACTGCTATACCTTTCCAGCAACTAACAGTCAAACTTGTTTTCCTTAACCACAGCCTGAAGAATACTGTATCACCACATGAAATGCTTCACTACAAAACCTACTTAAAGCAGGACCCTGTGCTAGAATGCTAATTTTCTGCTATTATTACCTAAAGAGAAATTGCTCTAATTGCTGCAGCACGTGATGGGAAGATTTCCCACCAATTTGGCTGTCCTTGTCTCTGACTGCAGTGGCACACAGATGCTGGTGACTTCAGGTGGCACGTAGAGAGTGGATTGCATTCTTACTTTTATTTGCATTTTTCTCTCAACAAATTTGATGTTGCCATTCTGTTTTGTGATCCAAAGAGCCCTACAGTTTCATTGGAAGACTGAAAAGGCTTTTGAATATCTCCATTATAATACAATAAATCAAACGTGTGGTTTGTAAGATGTATCCAAGTACTGATTACCACTGTATTCTTAAATATAAACCACAGCTATGTACTATCAATACACTACCCCATCCAAAATAAGGACAAATATAGTACAAGATAAACACAGTTTCAGTTAACCTAAATACAGGATATAATTTTTTTCCCTCAAAGACTTCTTGCATATAATTTTCTTCTTTGGAATCACATGATAATTTGTGATGCATTTTTGAATCTTTCTGCAGGTCTCCCCACTCCCCTTTACAATCTCTTGTGTTCTTCCATTGCACTTATTGCCCTCTCCCTCTTCAGGCCAAATGCATTAGTTATGTCACAAGGCAGGTAATTTAGCACAGGGCACCTTGCTCAAGAAATTCATGCCCTATTGCACATAAAATGTGTAATCTGCACTACAAAAACACCGACTACATCTCTTTAACATTGTACCAGCAGAAGGTGGTTTTTTTATCCTTGCCTACGTAGATGTTTTGCTCCTCTCAGAGCTGCTGACGCTCAGTTCTCATTAGGCAGCTTCTGGCTCTTCTTAATGAGCTGGAAAAGCTGGGGTCACCTACACAGCTCACTCAGTGCTTGTTAACAGAACAGAGAAAGACTTCTGACTCCTGTGCAACCCTTTTGCACAGGAGGGGTTGGGACACATAAGAGCACTCAGGATGGTAAAACCAAACACCCTCCTTGCAGGGATTAAAAACAACTTTTCTGGCAAGATCACTCTTTATCCTTCAGAGGTGGTTTTGGAGCTACTTTACTCCCTTTCTGTCATAATTAAAATGTTAATGCTCAGTCTTGCCTGTTTCAGTTGAGCTTATTATTACAACAGCAACTTGGTACCATGACAGCCTTCACAAAGCACAAAGGAGAATTCTTGAAGACTGTCAAAATCTAGCTGTCCACTTTGCACAAAGACTCACAACTATTCCTTTTGTAGCACACCTCCTTCACATGAAATACAAACACCCACCACAAACTTCCCTTGAGCAAAAGACTTCTGTAAAACCTCATCCTAGAAATAGTATCAGCATCTTGTTTAAATAATTCAGTCCTTGGCTATGGGGCTGAGTAACATGGTCCAGGAGCTAAGGAAGATCCATGCCTTCCCAGAGCTCCATGTATGGAGAACTCTCCTTAAGCAACTGAATCCATTTCTGAGTTAATAATCTTTATATATTAGTTATGTGTTACCCATACACAGGCTAGTTCCTACCCTGGGGAATTTACAGTCTGCTCTTTGATAGATGATGCCATTTTGACAACACACTACAGATCTCTTTATAGGCTTGACTTTATCCTGTTAACACAAGTGACTGACTGCACTCTCAGGTCTTCCAGGGAACAAAAAAAACCTGCTTCAGAAATGGAAGAGAATGAAAACTCTTAAATCTTCTGTCAGACACTACATCTATATCTGTTAGGAAAAAAACCAAGTCTCTATAAATAATGACAGCATTTTCACTTTATTTATTATATAATTTAATTCCATTTCTTGAGGTAAAAAATACTAAACTCCCCACAACAGCAGAGGGGAAGGCTGTAAATCAGCAGGTAGATCCTGACTCAGTCTCAGATATTCAAAATACTGTTAATGATCTGGTCAAACTTGTAGACAGCTGCAAGATCAAATGAGGTGGAAGATGAATTTATCTTAATAAGTACCATCTCAAAGGACAAATTCTGAAGCGATTATTCTGGTGCCCTGTTGCCCTTGTGGCTCTGCTCAAAGTATGTAACAGCTTCATACAAACTTAGGCATGGTCAGCAAAAAAAAAGAGAAATTTAATTCATCTTCAGCTACCTAAAAATTAAATCCCTCATTCCAATCTCCCCAAAAATGAAGAAAGAAATGTATGCCATTTCATAACAGTTTCTAGAAAAACTAACGTGGGTGCATCCAAAGACAATTCATCTCTCCTGTACTGCCTTCAGAACCTAATGTTTAACTTTATCTAGGAAATGAGTTTTCATATGGATGAAAGAGGTGAGAAGTCTCATCTTGGCAGTGGAAATCTCCTGTTTATTGCAAGTAAAAGACCCTTCTGTTTCTTGCGCTATCTTAAAAACCTTGCAGCCATTAAAGTATGCTTTCTTCCAGTACTGAGCAAGGAATTTATGTCCAGGATAAAGTCTTTTGGCTTACAAAAGGGATTTCAAGCAGTCTCTAAAATGTCATTTCTTCTCTAAAAAAGGTTTGCCAACTGTAAAAAAAGCAGATCACAGAAAGTTTGGGTTTTTAACATTAGGTGCCACCACTCTTCAAGCAAGGTGCTAGACAATCTTTACTTGAGATAATGGTGTGCTGTGCTGCACAAACCTTTGTGCAGCCCCCGTGCTGAGAAGTGACAAAAGGTTAAAAACAATCTCTTCTCTGTAGAAGCAGAACTTGCTGCCTTGTTTCACAAAAGAGGTGGCCATACGAGCTCACCTCAGGTGGCTTTGCTGGAACTTCTTTCTGTGCCAACAGTGCTGCCCATCCTGCTCAAAATGCAGAATATGCATTCCTGAGGTGCCACACCTATAACCAAACTCCATACAACTTACAAAAATTTCAAATAGAATAAAAAAAGGCAGTTCCACTTTCTTATCCCCATTTACACCAGAAAGAACTTCCTTGCACTGTAAAAAAAAAATCATTTGAGATGATGTGTCACTCTCATTACTATCAGCTCACAGCCCTTACCAGGAATCCTTTCTTTTTTTTTACCCAAAGTGAAGGCACAGAATAATAGTCAGGATTTTATTGGTATGGTTGGATGGTTTTTTTGTTTGGGGTTTTTTTGGCCCTGCACCCAGCAGCCAAGTGTGCTGGGCATTACAGAAGTACTAATGTGGAGCAGCTGACTAATTCCCAAATATTTCAAGCTGTTCAAGCAAATTGCCTGTACTTTCCCTTTGAGGAAATTAAAATAAGGGTACTAAGGTCACCTTGCTGCAGTAAGTTCTCTTATTTTGTGGTCAATGTGCCCTGCTTAGATATTCTTCTGCTAAACTAATCATCATAGCTGGGCCCAGGAAAAAAAAAAAATTCCTTTCTTCAAGAGGGTGATTGTAACCCCTGTTCAAGTATCTGGGGCTGTTCTCTATGCCCCAGTATTTCTGGGATTTGAAAACAGGGCTCCCCTTGCTCGTCCATTCCCATGTCCACCACTTCTTGCAACATATTACAGTTGTGGCTACTCTTACAAGTCGTAGGTTTGCTACAGATGAAAACATTTCATTCTTTGTACAAATTTTTGGAGTGAATTTTTTCCCTACCACACAAGTGCTTGCAGCTTACAGAAGACTAAATCAAGCAACACAGACAAGCACTTCCCCCTTCCTATATACTTGTATCCAGAAGACTGGGAAAAGAAAAACCCAGCTTAGCAACAAATAGAATCTGCCTTAGATGTGGCAATGAAAACCTATAAATATCCAAAGTCACGTGTAGGTTTATCACCTGCATATCTCATTTACCTTTTTTAGCTTCAGAATGGAAAACATTTGACCCCATTTACTCTGAAGCATCCTCTGACTCTTCAAAACAAAATGCCCCCAAGATGAAGGACACATCTCCCATCATGCCAGAGTATTTAAATACCTTATTTACAGTTGCCTTCACATTCCTCAAAGCCCTGGTGAAAACAAAAGTGCCTAGTAGGATCAGCAAATTTCAGCTATTTCAGAGTGGGAAGGAGAGAATTTCAAAGGTGCAGAGAATTCTCTGGAATCTGTCCCATCTTCTAGATACAAAAGTAAAAATCTCCTACAGGCACACAAAACTCTGCTACTAGGCATTAACAGCTTTATGGGTCAAAACCTTCACATCTTTGAGGGAGCTACAGGCAACAGCTAAAAGGGTCACATCCCCTGCCCCAAACACCACACTGGCTCTAGTGCAGACAGCTGCCCTTCTATCATTCAGTTATAAGGCCCATAAGGCAGAGATAACAGCAGAAAAATCTGAAGTGATGGTAAACTGATCTTAAACTGGAAGAGGAATCTATTGTGAAGCATATGTGAAAAAACCTCTGACCCATGACTCTTCCACTCTTCCAAAGTGATACAGCTTTTTACTCATCATCCCACAAGAAAAATCTGATTAATAAGGTAAACTGCTACCCTCTATCAGAGATCTAACAGACACACTCCTCTTTTAATATCCAACTTCCTTTCCACACACCTCTATCTCATATGTTAATGAACCAAATCTCTCAGCAACCTCACTTCCAGTTAGAAGCAACTCCTCTGAAGGGAGAGGAAACAAAATCTGAACTCTGGAGTTTGGAAAAGCAGATAGACATGGAGCAGAAATCCACCTTCTGCCTCTAAGAAGATGATTTTTCCTCCTCTTAATTGCTGCTTTCAGAAAACTTTGGTATCATGTAATTAACAAGTCACTTAAATTTAATAAAACAACAGCTGTTTTTCTGTGTTATTTTTAAAAGATATGCAAATTAAGACAGTTTGTTGACTTGCCCCATAAATACAGTAAACCCCACTCGATCTCTTTGTGGCAGTTGGAATAAAATTTTTAAATATCTAACATTTTCTGTACTACAGATTTAGTTCCACTATCATTAAAAAGTCTGTCGTCCAAACACTAGGCAAAAATATTCTCACCACATCATCACACACATACTTCTCAAAAAGGAAGCATTTCAACTAGAAATCTTTGGATGTACTTACTGAGATTGTACCATTGTCTAGACCTATGGACAGCCTTCTGGTTTCCGGGTTAAAAGACATGCATGAACATGGAGCTGAAAAAAATGAACATGTTGATGAAGTTAACAAAACTGTGATTCTCATTTTCTTGAAGTTCTGGAAAGCCTAAAGTTAGCTAACATGCTTTATGATGCTGTGCAGCATTTTGAGCTTACCAATAGACAAGCATTAAAATAAATGTTTTCTTGCAATTCATTCAACCCTATCCTATTAGGACATGGAAAAATAGCTATTTCTTGCTCCAGTTCCCTAATTTTTTTTTCTTACTAGTTATCTGTAAACAAGCCTTTCATATAAGAGGAATTGTGCTGCTTTGATACAACAGGCACTTGACATTTCAGTATAAGTCAGAGATTACTTAGCTGAATAATTTAGTTTTTTACATTTGCCTGAACTGTGCTGACAATAAAACAAAACACTACATTATGTCAGAGGCTTGCATCCTATACCTGCAGTAAGAAAATTTCCCAGTAGGAATCAACATATCAACTAATATTAAGGACAGAGTTCAACTGTCCCCTACTCCAATTCCATCACAGACAGTACTATGACAGTATCACATACTATGGTCGAAATAATTTATCTAAAACTAGCCATTGCTTGATTACATTGAAATTACTCTAATAAATATCAAGACTTATCCTGAAATTGCACACAAGATGGTCACAGTATGCTCCCTCCCAGAAGGATCTGGCAGGATTTGTACCCAGGATAAAACCAGGTCTCCTCCCAAGAATTCAAGAGCTGTGCTTGGTTTAATTGAAAAGTCGCGAAGTTACATTCAGAAAGCAGGAATTGCTTTTACTACCCAACACAGCATCATGCAGCTGGGAATCCTGCTGTCCCAACAAACCTTCAGGGATTATTTTTCAGGAGCAATTCCCAACTGCAGCTAGGATAACAGTAAGAATTATAAAGCTTTATCAACCATATTCTTATGATAAATACAGAGTACAGTCAGATGCACTTTTAGTTCTGCTTTTCTTCCCCCTCTTGGTTTCCACTGTCCATTGTGATTCTCGCATGTTTGTGTTACTAACAAGCTTGGAGTCCTCTCTTTCGTGATCCAGTATCTTCTCAATTTGTGAAATGTCTCTCCTAGGACTAAAAAGCCCATAGCTTAGCAAATCTTCCTTGATAGTTTAATTGGCAGCAAAGCTATATGAAGAGGAGTCAATGTTGACTGTGTAATAAAACTTGTTCCACTTTCAGTATTGACTCCCTCTTGAAATGTTTCCTGGAGGACAAGTACCATAAACAGAAAGCCCATCAGATCCACATCCAGGCAGGCACCTCAGTTTATTCCTTTCCTGGAAGGGCTGACTGAACTGAATTGATTAAAAGGCTTCACTTCAAGGAAACTGACACAAAGGAAACAATTAAATCCTAGTAACAGTGACAAAATTGCTCCTTCCTGTACCTCTCCCTTAGAAAAGGCAAACTGGAATCACCCCTTCCAGAAGTGGTGCATTACTATTACACTGAGGCTTCTATGCCTGTAGCAGAATAAGAGTTGTAGGAAAAAAATGGACAGAAAACTCCAATTCTAAGCATAATAAACATCAAATAAGTTTAAAGGCACTTAATGCCAGAACAGGTATATCACACAGCAGCTTTTAAATGCTGGACACTGGGCATATATTGAAAGAGCTACCAGTATCAATGAAGGCAATGAGCTGCTCACTGAGAAGTTGCCTAAGGTAAAATAATTATTTGAAGTATGCTTTTCCCAAACACTTCAGAAGCAAATGATGCAAGCAATTGCTTGACACAATTGCAAAAGAAGTAATTTCTGAATTCCGTAGCTGTGTGTACACAGTTATAGCAGCGTCAAGATACTTACTTTGCTATAATGATATTTCCCAAGGGAACTCTTCAGTAACATGTGCACTTAGAAAAATCATTATGACAGCATTAAAATTATGCCCATACCAACTACACTGATGTAGTCAGTCGTGCTACTTGTAACATGACTGCAGCTTACTCTGGTAAAATTAAGACAATATTCAGGTACTTTAGCACTTAGGCACATTAAAGAGAGGGGAAGAAAGAAAAAAAAGAAAAAAACAAAAAGAAACCCTAAAACCTTAAGCTTCTGAGATATTTAAGACCCTTTAAAAACCATATCCAGGAAAAATAATAGCACTCTGAAGACTCTCTACTTAAGAACTTAGCTATGATTTAGATTTCAGACTGGAAAAAGATTCATCTGAACTGCTATGGAGGACAAGCAGAATATTCCTGATGCAGAAGTCTGGCTGCAGTCTTTTCTTAAATACAGGGCAAATACACACTGATTTTTTTCCTTTAGAAAATGAAATATGGAGAGAAATCACAATTATATATTTCATGCTCTCAAAAGCATGTCACCTTCATTAGAGGCTGACAGAATCAGAAGAGAAATAGAGACTTTGTCCCTGCAATTCTGGGACTCCCCTCTGAAGTGCCTAAACATGACACAGTTTGAGACCAAAGGAGCAAGTTTTGCATTGCAATTGTTTCACCCTTCTGTTCAAAGCAAAGTGTTAGTTACGAAAGCCATCATAAGACAAGCAGTGTATTATCTGCCTCAAAGACTGGATACTCCATTGTTCACCAGTAAAATAAATCTTTTACTCCATTCCACATCTCTAATAGGGTTTTTTGGTTGCATTTAGGTCTTTTTGTGTGTTTTAGTTTTGCTGGTTTTTTTAGTGGAAAATTTTACTTGACTCTTGACTACAATTTCTTTACCTTTCCTAAATCTGCATCTGCTAAGCTGTTTTTTTAGTCCTCTGCCCAAAGTGACAAATCTAACCATGGTTACACCTGTAATCAAGAGGACACATCTAACCAGGGTTACATGTTTACAGAGCTCTGTTGTTAATCAGCTGTTGAGACAAAGCTGGTGCAAAGGAAATGGATTAGCAAGACTTCAGCTAGAACTCTTTTTCTTTCTCATGGGCTGGAGATGATGATCAAAAATATGGCCACTGTGCTGTCCAGAATTTTTTGACCATAGAATCACCCACAGGGCAGAACATAAAACTTTCCAAATTAGGAGAAATCCCACCTCTAAGCTCAGAAGAGAGCTATAATCTTGGCCTTTTTTACCATTAGGTGTTTAATGATTTTGACATTCAGAATGCATTGATGACCCTGGTTGAGTGCAGAACTTGACCAAAGCACATCACTGACTCAACCCAACTCCTCATCCTTCTCATTTCCCAGAGGAGCTAGTCTGCAAACTCAGTTATTGAGGCTACCTGATATCAAATCATAAAATAGATTGGGTCACACATCACCACAGTCAGTCACAACTCAGGCTAATGGGGTACCTAGAGGTAGGACTGCCACTCACAGCTTGCTAAGCAGCACAAAGGCACCATTGTGTCTCCTACATTTTTACACAAAGAAACTCTCAGCAGTCATTCTTCTTTAAACAACAAAACCCAGTATGAACCTAAAGCAGAGCACCATCAAAAAGGTGATCAACACAGAAACTGACAAAACCATCATTTCCAGTCAAGTGCAGACTTGTACAGATTCTGACTCAGAGCCCTTTCTATGATTTCCAAGCTTAGAGGCATGACTGATTGTAATTGCTTCAGTTGTTAATTATACCTGATGATTCTTGAAATTGCTGAATAACACAGTATAATTTCAATATCTCATGCCTCAAAAGCTTACCAGCCTATGAAGTGAAGGAGCACTGTCAAGTGTTCAAATTCATGAAGGAGCTTTGAAATAGTCCCCATTCAGTGGAACTGCATCTACTCCATCATTTCCATTGAAACAATTATTACTGGCAATAACACAGCTTTGCAAAGACCAGAGAACAATCTAATGAGATTCAAATATGCAAATGTATACAACAATATCACATGGCAAAAGAGAAGCCTCAATGCCAAATAGCTAGAAAGGCCATTTCGTAACAGTTTGGCTGGGGAAAGCAAACCTCTTAGGACCAGTCAAGGGAACTCAGGCCACTGCCAGTGATCATGACAGAGCTCCAGAGACTGCCACACCATTAGCTAGTTCCCAATACCTTCTTGGCAAAATCTTGAGCAGAAAGTACCTGTGAGGATTGGCACATTCTTATGAGCTAGTCCATCAACAAAGGAGGATGAGGGGGCTCCTCCTCTCTACCAAATAGTTTTCTTAAATCAGACAAATACCATGGCTGCCCTAGAGTCCCAAATTTATGTTTTTCTACTAAAACTTACACCTATTAAATATTTTAGCTATCATGGAGACAGATGCTTCTTACAAATCTACCTATCTTAGCTTAAAATAATCCTTTCTCCAGACAGTATGAATACCTCCATGAGACGTGATGTGTGCTCCCCAATCTGGATTTAAGGTCAGCTTTACAAGCTTTCCAAAGACAGGCTAACCCAGCACATCTAATTGAAGCTGACTGAAGAGCATTAGCATATGCCTGCCTCCGATGACCTACAAAATTATATTCCTGCACTCAACACAGGGGTTACAGCAAACAGCAAGGGCTGTCATTTCTTCAACTCTCTCTTGGGAAAATGGACATTGATCTGCAGTTTCTCAAAGCATGAACACTCTCTTTGGGAGAGGAGACATAATGGAGGGATCCATCAGGGAAATTTGGTTTTCCACGTTCAATTGCTAAGGTAAAATGATTCTGCTCCTAAATTGGAAGAGCTGCCTTCCCTGTCTAGTATCCTCTCTATCACATTAGGTGCCATGGAATATTAAGTTCTTACCAAATAAAACCATTTACCAAGGCACTCTAATGGACTGAGCACACACAGTAGGAAGGGCAGAGTGATTTATACCGGAGACTTACAAAGCTTTATGGACTCCATTAGGTGCAGAATGCAAGACCACATTTTGAGTTCCCATATTTTAAAACCTGTGTTTGCATTAAATGCTCATCCCTTGCTAACATGTCTGTATCCTTTAACTGCTGTAATCTCTGATGCCTCTCAGAAGCATTAGCATGTAACTTTGTAAAGCTTCACCAGTACCAAGAGGATTGTTAAAGAACAACATTTGATACAGAGATGTAAGCATGCAAACAGTCATAAGCATGAAGCTTCATCAAAACTACTTTGCAAATCCACAGTAGATATTCAACATCTCGTTATACTTACATGGCATTGCATGGTATATACTGGGCCAGTACTGCCCACTGTCTCTCTTCAGCCAGACACGAACTGTTCTGTAAAAGAAAAAGCACTACATGTGAGGAAGAATTAAAAAATAATTATGACTGAATGAAAACAAAGTGGTCATGATGAATGTACAATATGTTCTTCAAAATTAAATTATTTTGCTGAGAGGGAAAGTAAACTCGTGAACTCCTATACTAGCCTGATACATCAGCCTCAGATTAACCCCTGTAAGGTGATAAGCATTGACTCCTTGGTTCCATTCAGTATTGAACAACTTGGCTAAACATATCACAACAATATTTGGAAACTGCTATGGCTTTTAGTTCTTTGCTTTACAAGGACTTTAACACAACTGTTCATTCAAGGCTCCATGTGAGAATTTGGGGCAGCACAGGTAGCCCAGTAGAGCATTCCTGTATTAGCGCTTCCAGTCTCTGCAGAAACCTTCCCCCTGCTCTCAGGGTAGGCCTTGGCCCATCTGCTGCCTGTTGTTTCATTGTTCTGCTTCAGGAAAACCCCTAAAAAGAAGAAGGAAGTTCTGAAATTTTCAGCTGCTTATTACTAAGGTTATGTCCATTTTTGCCAAAAACGACCTCTTCAGTTTCAGGACCTTTCCTCTCCTCCATACACACAGAGTGCTATCAGAAGAAGCCACTGAGCACAAAGAAGCCAAACTTATCCTTCTCTAAAGAGGATGACAAATGTGACAAGCAGCCTTGCAGGTCTCCTCTGCCTCATCAGTTTGGAGTTGGTGTCTTTGAATAGAGGCCCTTAGAATCAATCACACAGTGCTCCCTACAAACACATCAGCAGTTTCCTCTCTTCTAGAAGATCTTCCCAAAGTATCTCAGGATTACTTTTGCTTTCTCATAATCATATTATACTGTCAGATGCCTTTTACTCAATCCATGCCCTTCAGAGATTTGAGACAATTGTTGCTTGTTTCTACAGCAGAGGATCTGGACTGATGCACCATCTGGGTCATTAAATATTTATTATTTCCGCCTTCATTACCATTTGCTTCTTTTGGTCCAGTCTCTGAAGCCTCCTTATACTTGAAGCTCTCTCTTAACTTCAGTTCATCAATTAATTTCATCAAAACATGTCCAGTAACAGTGTCAACAGTTAAAGCAGCATTAACCTCTTACTTGTTTCTGCATAGCCCACTGTCACCTCACTTACAGCCCCCTGTTCCTCTAATTACTGTTCCTCTAATCCTTATATCTAATGTTAACCAGAAAACTCTCCATATAATACTGTATTCAAGCTTTATTGATTTACACTGAATGTATTAACCTTCTCTAGAAAACACAGTTATCCAAGACAGCACCATGTTAGCACAGATTTTGACCCAGCACCCACTTCTATTCAGTCAAAATTACTATGCAACAGCAAATGCAGGAGGGGTCTAAAAACCTATTGTTTCTATAACTTGCACTTGATACTATTAAGAAAAAAGAACAAGCAAGAGTGGCTCTTGCCAGTACATGAAACATGGAAATACAGCTTACGGAAAAGACTGCATGATCATTTCTATTGTTACCTCATTTTATTCAAAAAGAAGATAGCAGCCTTCTTTAGTCAGTACAAATTCAGAGCAATGTCATAATACAAGAAATACATCATAAAGGAATATGAATTGATCTAAGGCATTACATACACAAATATAGTCTGAATTGAGATGCTGTGCATAATAAAGCAATTCAAGAACTAGCAATCTGTCCTTCAAACATCAAACTAAAGGCTGTACCACTTTGTCTTCCTGTGCTGCTTATGTCCAAAATCAAGTCTCAGCTCATCTTACCCTGCCTTCAAACTCCTTTTACAGCAAATAATTCTGAGACCTTGTATATTTGGGCACTACACAAGCTGAACCATTGCAGAAATATCTCAACAGGGTATGTCGCTCTAAAAACTAACCTTCACTGGGTTAATAAGTCCCAAGTTTAGAAAGCTCTCACAAATTACACAAAACATGTAACATTCATTATAATTATGTCCTAAGTCTAATGGCCTATTTGTGTTGAACACAGCAGCAGCTCTGAAGCAAAGCTGCCAAAACATTTTATAAGGCACAATTCATTGGCCAATAATAAGGCTGATGTATCTTTGATGGTGAGAGGGACAGACAAATCCTTCTGTCATTTCTCCCCACAGCTGACCAAGGCTGTTGACCAGAAGCTCTAGATGCACATCAACCACTCAGTTTCCCAAATGGATGAGCTCTTACAAATGTGTTTGTCCTTACAAGTGAGGTCATTGCGGCAATGAATGAGTGCGCACAAAAAAATAATGGGATGAATCACAGGGAGCTGAAATAACTGAATATGAAACTACCCTGAGGAAATGCACCTGTGAGAGACCTGCCTTTCTTGAACATCCCAATCTAGGTATTCAAGTGCTATCTGTTTCAAAATCCCCAGGCTTCAACAACATTGCCCTTCCTCTCCACTCTGACACTTCTGCAAATAATAAATCCAGTACAACATCTTACAAATAATTCAGCTTGCTAGGAAAGGACTGTGTAGAAGAACAGATATTTCAAAAGCTGGAGGAAATAAAAATGAATTTTATGTGCAAAAATGGCAATAATTTGAATGCTTTGGGTTGGTTTTGTCATTGTTTATTAAACTGTACCCACTGCAAAATTTCTAATCAATTTGACATTTACATCAATTTTAAGACTTTTAGATGGATGATAATGAAGCAAAACATATTATCTAGTAAAATCTAAAACAAAGAAAGAAAAAAACTGCTGGAGGTTGTGTTATGAGTGAAGCTACTTCTACTAATATAGGGCTCTTCTATAAGTACACAGTATGCTCATTTCTTAGTGTAGTCAAATATATTTCCATTCAAGGACTAAATCATGTGACTAAATGACAACTAAATGAGAAACAAAGCATTCTAAGAATAAAAAAAACTATGAAAAGATGCCATCTAACTGTAAGGTGTGTGAAAAAAAAACTTAACCAGCAAGTCAGTTCATGCAACTCTTCAGAGAAATAAGTATCTTCCCAGTAAATGATCTGAAGATAATAAAAGATCTTGTTAACAATTTATTTTAAAATTAAGGATGATTACTATGCATGTCTTTTAGGCAAACATTTAAAATCTATATTAAGCATTATCGTGGATTTCCAATATCTATCTATACGTTCATGTAAAAGCATGAAAGTTATTCCTTATATCAGGATATACGACTCAGAATTTTCTTCTCTTAAAGAGCACTGAAATAGAAAAAGCATTTTATTGAAAGAAGGAAAACCAACCTCACTTCAGCAGCCTTTTCTAGGTAACTTTTTCCCAAAGTAGAATTGGGCTAAAAAATGAACCATATCAACTACTGAGTTTGGGAGAAGCCCAATGTTCTTGGAAGAGCACATCCTTTTTCAGCTGAAGTTCCACATTTCTATATACTTTTTTACAGAATACTACCTACTAGATGTGAAACCCAGAGCTTTTGGAGCTTCTAAAGAATGCAAAGGAAAAAGCCCAAGAATGAATGAAAAAAAGCTTTTTTTATGGATATCCAGCATGTGGAGTACTTGCTGTTTGCATGGTTACTGGAATTAAAGAAGCACCCACCTGGGTCAGGATTCATTCTTCAGCTGCTCTAGAGTGATTCAGTCAGCATCACCATGGAAATGAGTTGTCCCTTCATTTTGTTGCCAGCAAATTGACTTGGGAAGATTTTTAGAAGCTGTCAAATCGATGGATATTCTTCTAGTCTTTTCATAACAGAGATGATTTATTTTTAAATGAGACAGGCTATATAGAAATAATTCTGCCATACAAAAGACAGGCTGTGTCTTCATATATTAAGGGGATGTGAAAATTGCCAATTTTAAAAGAAAAATTGCTTCTCTCTGTTATGATGAAGAGAATGTGCTAAGGTCCAGGTGGCTGTGGATGCACCAGCAGGTCTCAAGCACACTGCCAGGCTGTGTAGGAGGTGAGCTCACTTGGGCACCTACTACTCGTGAAGGTGCCCATGTCAACAACAGCATGTCCACCTTGGTGTGGCAGCTCTGTGCATCACCATCTACAGAAACTTATTCGACCACTGGTATCTCATTTCTGATAAAAACAATCTGGTCATACAAACCCAACTTTGTTCATCCAGGCTGCAGTGTGCCTCGTGAAAATGTGCACAATGCTGCCAGGTTGGATGCAAGATTCTCTGCTCTATCCCTGCTCTGGCCTGAAAAGTCAGTATTGCTGGGAGTGCTGGTGTTGAGTTTCTGTGAGTGACTCACAGCAGGGCTCCTGTCTTTCCTTCTTTGTGCCTTGCATGAAACAGTGGTGTTGCACACAGTACAGACATACTGATGTGTCAAAACACGGGCCCAAGATGTTTGCATGTTGCAATACTGGGAAATCTGTGCTAGGGAGATCCATTACCGCAAGAAACAAGATCCCTACAACACTCCACTTCTCCAGAATATCCATAAACCCACCAGTTCTAGTGTCACAGTTTGAGTGAGGAAACCTAATATATCTGTTTCCCATAACAGATCCTTCCTCTCCTGTTAATTTTTTTTTTCCTTTTTAATTTCTGTCTTTTTAAAAGTTTCCCTTTGATGAGATGCACTTCTGTAATATTATCACCTTCATGCCCCAGACATACACCAGAGGACACCACAGCAGAGGTAACCCTCAACACATACAATTTACTACATTATTTCATAGGTATTCTTGGGCAATTGTTTTAAATGGCATTTTAATGTAGTCCTTATGGTTTGTACCTTGGACCATGTACTGCAGGATTATTTTATCTCTTGTTTTGCTGAGTGACCAAAACCACTAAGCATCAAATGAAATATGAAATTATTTTAAAGTTTTTATTTTATTATTTTATAGTTTTATTCTTATTTGTAGCGAGGACACAAGTTACAGAGGTACAGAAGCGTTAATCTGTCACTTTCTAAAGTCATCAGGCTTATTCTGAGACTCTTTACACATTACAGCTCCTTGGGAAAGGGGGATATGTCAACAGTGCAAATGACACGGTTAAAAAGAAATGCCCAATGGGCATTTTCAGGGG